GCTTAAAAAAAAAAAAAAAAAAAAAAGAAAGAAAGAGGGGATCCTGAGAAAGCCCTGGGGTGGGGATTACCATGTCTTGGAGAGGGGAGTCTGCCTCTATGCCATGTTTCAGGCAGGTGGCCAGGATAATCATTGTGTTTGACCTCCCAGTTACTAACCAAGCCTGCCATGTGCCCAGCGAGGTGTTAGGTGCAGGTGGGCATGGCTTACAAAGGATACCATGGAGACCATGGTTAGTGAAGTTAGGTAGTGGGTACGGAGTGAGTGTTATGGGAAGGGAGAGGGGGGAGCAGTCGGGGGAGCGTCACTGAGATGAGCTTGGGCTAGACCTCAAAGGAGGAAGATTTTGAATTAGATGGAGCAGTGTGTCCTGACTGAACTCTGTCATCCAAAGCATGGGACACTAGTGTTGGAGGGTAGTCGTGGGAGACTCCCTGTGCCCAGAGCTGCCCCTTCCCTCAGAAGTGCCTGCCTTCAGGGAGTTCTTCTTTCTCAGCTTCTGGAAGAGGAACTGTGGCTGCCTCTGAGATCCAGACCCAAGGAGCAGTCCCCGCCAGTAGTTCTTCAGAAAATACCCCTCCTGGCCCGTGGAGGGCTTCTGTGTCCACTTAAAGCCCCTTCCAAACAGCCTTCTGGTCTCCTGGCCTTCTGTTTCTTTTGCCACTGGGATGGCAAGAGGAAAAGATGTCCCTCTTGGACAGGTAGTCCCAGGATTCACCTCTGTCTTCCCCTACCCCAGCTGTCCTCTGGACTCCCTGGAGTTTTTTTGCTGCTGACCAGCTCAGGTCCTATTATAGATTTTCGTGGGTTCTGAATGGGATAGGAGGGCCAGAACTGGACTTAGGAGCTGGGAGAGGTTGCCGTTTTCCAAAAGGAAAGATTTCTGTCTCACACTATCTGGGAAAGAGGCAGCAGTACACAAGATGGAAAGGAGGAAAGGGATCCACCCAACAGGGTCCTTGGACTGCACACTCCAGATGCTGCCACTTCATAGATCCCACCAGATCTGACTTGACAGCCAGGCTGTAACCCAGTCCCTTCACCACTATGGACACCTCTCCTGTCCTCTCATGCACCTTTCTATGCCCATCTGGGAGGCCTCTGAGCAGCCGTTTTCCCCTCTCCAGACTGGCTCCTCCCCATCTCCCAGCCTCCTAGCCACACTCTCCCACCTCTGGCCCCAACTCACCTCCCAGCCCTCTTCTTTCCCTTCAGACGATGGGAGCCTGGTGTGGCTGTCCAGGAAAGATCACATCTGACTGCATCAGGGAGGGCTGAGGGCACTATGGGGTGAGCTGGGTTCTTGCTGTGTACCTAAGCTCAAGTCACTCAGAAGGTTAGATGAAGAAGAGGGAACTGGGAATCCCTCTCAGCCGGCAGGGGGAATTGAGGAAACCAGGGGTTGGAGTCTTTTTGGCTTCTGGTGGAGATCCTGGGTTTTGGCATGCTTGAGCCGGAGTGGTACCTTCTGGAGTGGCAGGGAACCAGCCTGACTTGGCCTTTTTTCCTTCCCTTCCCTACCCTCTCCCTGCAGCCCCCTCACTTCATCTCTCTTCTCTTTACAGATGGGACCCAGGTGAGCCCGGGCACCCACTGTCCCAGCCCCCCTGGCACAGGTAAGAGTCAGACTTGAGAGAGCCTGTGGGGAGTGGGAGAGGAGGGATGGCAGGGCCACCAGAGGGCAAACAGCGGAGAGGTTGGAGAAGCAGGGGGAGCCAGGAGGTGGGGGGCTCCAGGGGAGGGGTGAAGTTGGGGCTCCATGGGGAGGGGTGAGGATTAGGGCCGGAGAGGCAGCTCTGGATGCTGGCTGGGCCCCGGGCTAAGAAGCACAACAGGAAAAGGAAAGCCAGGATGCTCTTCTTGTCCTCTCTGGGTGTAGTGAAACAGGAAGGAAAGTAGGAAGCTAATGTTTATACCCAGACCCCTGCCCCACATCAGGCAGCAGGTGAGGTGTGTTTTTGTTTGTTGACTCATTCAGTCCTCACACCAACCCTGTAAGGTGGGCATGGAGCCCTTACAGGATTGCTCAGTGGTCGGGGAAGGGCCCCTTGGAGAGGGGGTGCTCTCACCGTCTTGCCTCTCCCCCCAACTGGCCCAAGTCTCCCTCTGCTGCAGGGCCATCCTGGGAAAGGAGTAGAGTGGCCTCCTGCTACTGCATGGCTTTAGGACATGCCATGGGGGGGTGGTCTGTACTGCAAGAGGCCTGCCCTTCCTTCACTGCAGCCAATATGTGCTGAGGACCCACTGAGTGCAGCATACATGGCCTAATGCCTAATAACTCCACGTGGCAGGGAGAAATGGAGCCCAGGTATCCTCCTTGCTTAGTCCTGGCTGTCCAGAAGCTAACAAGCTGGTTGGAGAGGCAGGACATCCAAATACAAGGAGAAAAAAATAGAATGCAATATGTGGTCAGTGCCAAATGATCAGGAGACCTGATTAACAAGTTCATCCATTCCTTCAAGAGTCACTGATGAACCCCATCTCTGCTAGGGCACCTTCCTAGGCATTTGGGGAGAGGCACAAAGATTTGTCGATTGGTTCCATGTTTATTAAGTGCCCATCATGTGCTAGGTACTAGTCTAGGTCCTGGGCATAATGAACAATGCACGAGATCAAGTCCCTGCCCTGTAGGGCTTAACTTAGATGTGGTTCCTGCCTACAAAGTGCTTATCCTGTCGTGGGCCAGCCACGCAATTGAAGTCCACAAGAGGGAGGGACACTGGGCACTGGACTGGGTCCAAGGCTAAGGGAGGACTCCATCTAGGTCTTGAGCAAAGGGTAGATTTTGGAAAAGCAGAATATAGGGATGAGGACGGCACAGGCAGGGACACTGTGAGCAGAAACTCAGAGGACAAAGGAGACACGGGCTTGTGGCAGGGTAGAAGCTGATGGACAAGGTGGTGGGCTCATGTTCAGACAGAGGAGCCCAAGCTTAGAGACACTGAGTTCAGACAGATTGCAGAGCCCCCCAAAATGCTAAAGTACCCTGAAAAGTATTTCTAGGGTTCCAGGCAGAGCCTATAGTCTCTCTGCTGAGGAGGGAGTGGCTGGGCTGAGAGTGAGGAGGGGGGCCGCACCAGGGGGCTGCTTCCCTCTCTGTGTGGCTGAAGCCCCTGGCCTTGGGTCCAGGTGGCCCACCTTGGGCTCCCCTAAGCCTCTCCTGCATATCAGGAAGCCAGGATGCCAGAATGTGGGAGGTCTGAGACTTTTCCTGGGGCAGGAGTGTGTTGGCTTTGGAGTCCCAGACTCCCCCCCAAACAAGGGTCTGGATTCCTTAGGTGGCCACATGAACAAGGGGTTGGGGCATCACAGCAGTGCAGTGTCTACCCATTGGGGGCAGGGCGTGGGGCAGGCGCCTCCTTGCTCAGCCCCTCTCTCATGTCCATCCCACAGTCAGAAAGTTCCAGTGACTAGCCTGAGTGACAACCCACTGCAAACCCAGTGAGAAACCCCCTTAAGGGAAGGTGGCTTCCCGAAAGTTGGCAGGAAACAGAGCACTGGCCTGGGAAGCACTAGAACCCATGCTAGCTCTGCCCCAAGCTGGGTGACTTTGGACAGAGCCCTTCACCTCTGAGTCTCAGTGTCCTCATCTGGAATAATTGAATAGTAATGACTACCTCCCAGAGTGGACGGGGGCAAGGAGGTTTTGCAGGTGTGCACGCACATGTGCTACAGATGTAAAGATTGTGGTTGGGAGTGACTGGGTTGGGCCTGGGGGCTGCTATTCCTGACTTTCCACTAGGGCATTGCCATGAGGCCTTTCCAGCCATCCTTAGCCCCATGCCCTAAGAACTGCCTGTGGTTTCCCCATGGGGGGGGTACCTGGTGCTGGGATTGCTGAAGAAGGCCACTCCAGAACAGTTTCTTACTCATGGCCCTATCATGTGCTGGCCCACTCCCGCCCCCACCTGCTCCTTTTCCCTAGGATAAGCCCCCTGTAGCAGCTCCACCTCCGAGTGTCTCAGCTTTCCTGACTGCTTTGCCCGACCTGGCCCAGCTGGCTGTGCTGGCATAGACCCTGGTCTGGTGGCTGGTTATAAATAGCCCCTGCACCCACAGCCTTGGCAGGGTGCTCCTGGCGTGGGTGCAGAGGACACTCGAGAAGAGGCAGCAAAGCTGCTGTCCACACCACACCAGGCCCAGCGCTGCTGTAGAGGTACCCAGTAGTGGGTCCAAGGGCATGTGGGTCCAGTGAGCTGAGGAGCCTGCCTGGGGCACAGGGTTCCGCAGGCCCCAGGGGTGCTGGCCAGGGCTGGCTGTAGGCTTGAAGCATCACTTTTTTATCTTATAACAGGGACAGAGCAAGGGAGGGTGGCAGTTGAGAGGCGGAACAAAGTGGGCCTGTGTGCCTGCCTGATGGCTTTCTTTGAGCCCAGCTCATTAGAGGGCAGCGGGTAGATATTCTCCTTCCATGGGGGATGAAGGGAGGGAGAAGGCAGGGCCTGGAATGTGCCACTGTAGCGCCTGCAGTCCATCACCAAATCCCCATAGTCCTCAGCTCCGGGCCTGGGGAGGAATATATTTAGTGGATGAGCACCAGTGACAGTGTGACCTTACAGTTTATAGACCTCCTTTCTCACGGGTAAAATAGAATCAATAATACCTACCTCACAGGGCCATGGCAAGGATTAAGTGAGGAAGAGGCCACTTGTGGGTGGGTATTGTACTGTTTTGTTTTGGTTGTTTTTTTTTGAGTCAGAGTCTCACTCTGTTGCCCAGGCTGGAGTGCAGTGGCACGCTCACGGCCACCAAGCCTGAACCTGCTGGGCTCAGGTGATCCTTCCACCTCAGCCTTCCAAGTAGCTGGAGCTACAGGCACGTGCCCCACCATGCCCAGCTAATTTTATATTTTATATTCACATATATGTGTGTGTGTGTGTGTGTGTGTGTGTGTGTGTGTGTGTGTGTGTGTGTGTAGTAGAGATGAGATCTCGCCAAGTTGCCCAGGCTGGTCTCAAACCCCTGAAACCGCTGACCTCAGACAATTATCTCATCTCAGCCTCCCAAAGTGCTGGGATTGCTGGTGTGAGCCACCGTGCCCAACCTGTTTTGCGGTTTTTAAGTGAACCCGAAAAAGACTGATTAGGCCACAATAGTGTATTGCCGACAGATGTTCCTGCTGACCCTGTCCCCTCTCTATGTCCCCAGGCTGCCCCACATCCCTTGCAAACACGCCAGGCCCTCAGCCCCAGCCCATGGACCTGCGGGTGGGCCAGCGGCCCACAGTGGAGCCCCCACCTGAGGCCACGCTGCTGTCCCTGCGGCATCCCCGGCGTCTGCACCACCACCTCTTCCTACCAGGCCTGCACCAGAGCACAGCAGAGCCCATGCGGGTAAAGAGAGCTCCCCATGCATGGGGCTACCTCGAGCTCAGCCCCCATTCTGTCTTCCCTTCAACCTCCCTAGTCTCAGTCCTCAACTCTGTGTCCCTTCCTGGGCTGCTGGCCCTGCCCACAGCTCTCCATGGACACACCGGTGCCTGAGTTGCAGGTGGGGCAGCAGGAGCAAGAGCTGCGGCAGCTTCTCAACAAAGACAAGAGCAAACGAAGTAAGGATGGAGGCTGCCCAGCCTGGGTGCCGGCAGCCACTTCTGTGGGCCTGGGAGGGATTAAGTGGGCGGGTCACCATCAGCTGGGCCACCAGCCTCACTTTCCCTCTGCTTCTCTAGCTCTGTGAATGTGGGGGCTCCAGGGAGAGGTGGGGCCTCAGACTTGACTCTTGACTGAGGAGTCCCAGGGACACCTTATACTGGGGGTGTGATCACGGCAGTGGGCAGAGTGTGCCCGGAGGCTGCCTGTCACCCCTCCCAGGCCACTCATGACTCTCTGCCCTGGCAGGTGCCGTAGCCAGCAGTGTGGTCAAGCAGAAGCTGGCGGAGGTGATTCTGAAGAAGCAGCAGGCAGCCCTTGAGAGAACAGTGCATCCCAATAGCCCCAGCATTCCATTCAGGTGATTCTCCTCCCTGCCTGCTCCCTCCTGTCTCCACTAGCTCCCACGTTAGCCTGTGAGCATATGTACATGTGCCCCCTTCCTTCCCAGCTGCCACCACCTGACCCTTACCCTTCATCTGTACATAATGCCCCTATCTCAGCTAATACTGCCTGCCTGCCTGCCTGCCTGCCTTCCTTCCTTCCTTCCTTCCTTCCTTCCTTCCTTCCGTCAGAGTCTCACTCTGTTGCCCAGGCTGGAGGGCAGTGGCACACTTATAGCCACTACAGCCTAGACCTGCTGTGCTCAGGTGAACCTTCTGCTTCAGCCTTCCAAGTGACTGGAATCACAGGCATGTGCCACCAGTGCAGCTAATTTTCTGATTTACTGTAGAGACAATGTCTTACCATGTTGCCCAGGCTGGTCTCAAACCCCTGGGCCCAAGCAGTCCTCTTGTCTCTGCCTCCCAAAGTACTGGGATTACAGGCATGAATCCTCTTCCTCTCTCTTTTAATTAATTATCTCTCCCCACCCCAGCTGAGGCTCTTCTCACACACACACATACCCACACACACACACACCCAAGCTTTCTTGCACGCATGAGTCCCTTCTCTCTTTATATCTTCCCCTAAGCACAAACATGTCCTAGTTCCTACAGCAGGTTTCTACTGCAGGTGACAGAGTCCCCAGTAGGCCTCTCACCCAGGCGAGACCCTGGTTTCTATGCCTAGATAAGAACTCTGCACTGTGGCTGCTGGGTAGAACGAGTGGCCCACTGCTGCCACCTGGAGATTGTTCCCATTCCTGCTTGCCCCACACTGCCCGGCCCTGCCCCTGCTACCTCCCTAGCAACCTATTCATGGTGATGGCTGTGCAGCATCCCTGCCCCTCTAAAGCAGCCTTGCCCTCACCCCACAGGACCCTCGAGCCCCTGGAGACAGAAGGAGCCACCCGCTCCATGCTCAGCAGCTTTCTGCCTCCTGTTCCCAGCCTGCCCAGTGATCCCCCAGAGCACTTCCCCCTGCGAAAGACAGGTGAGCTGGACAGACGGGTAGGACCCTCCAGGGAACTGAAGGCGAAGGGCCTGGAACACAGGTCAGGAGTGCCGAGGGGTGGGAGGATTGGACTGGGGGCGTTGGTCAGCAGGCTATGGGCTTCTCTCTGGCTCTGCCTTCTTTTGCCTTAACCCTCAGAGGTAACTGGGAGTGAGGGACTAAAGGGTGGAGAAGAGAAGGTTGGCCTGGGGATCTGAGTAATGCTGGTGCTCCCCGCAGTCTCTGAGCCCAACCTGAAGCTTCGCTACAAGCCCAAGAAGTCCTTGGAGCGGAGGAAGAATCCCCTGCTTAGAAAGGAGAGTGCACCACCCAGCCTGCGGCGGCGGCCTGTAGACACCCTCGGAGGTGAGGACCAGCAGGGTGGGTGTGGTTGCCATCCTCAAACCTGGCTGGTCTTGTCCTTTTGGGTCTCACCTAGACAGGGTTGCCTCCTGCAGCTGCCATGTGTGGTTGTACTAGGTGTCCTATATATTCACCAGGGAGGAGTTGGGACTGAAACCCAGCCCCTACTCTGTTGGCTAAGCTGACATCTGCCCAGAAGCGGTGACACCCTTAAAAAAACTGTGCAGAGGTGCTATAGGCTAGTGGTGGGCTATCTTCCTTCTGCTGTTGTGGGAGGAAGGAAGGAAGCAGAGGCCACCCGCTAGGGAAGGGACCGTTCTTGGGTCTCCTGCACCAGCAGCCTGGCTGTGCTCTCCTGGCCACCCCAGCCTCTGACTGCACTTCCCTTTCTCCCCAACCCTCAGACTCCTCCCCCAGTAGTAGCAGCACACCTGCGTCAGGGTGCAGCTCACCCAATGACAGCGAGCATGGCCCTAACCCTGTCCTGGGCTCAGAGGTAAGGCCTTCCCTGGACCGGGCTCTCCTGGGGCAGTTCTGAGGCTCAACCTTCTTCCAGCAAGTGACCCTACCAGGGCTGGGGTCACAGGGTCTGAGCAGCCCCCAGCAGAGCCTCTGGGTGTTTTGGGGAAGGCGTGTCAAGGGTAGAGGTCTGGGACCAGTGACCACTTGCCCTGCTCCCCATGGCAGGCGCTCTTGGGCCAGCGGCTGCGGCTGCAGGAGACTTCTCTGGCCCCGTTCGCCTTGCCGACAGTGTCCTTGCTGCCCGCAATCACGCTTGGGCTGCCCGCCCCTGCCAGGGTGAGTGGCTCGGGCGTCCACCCCCACTCTCCATTTTCCCAGCTTCTTTCACTCCCTTTCCTGCTGCCTCACCCATTACCTTCACCACGCTCTGCCGGAATCTTCTCCCCATGACTGCTCCCTGCCTTTCCCCCAGGCTGATGGTGACCGCAGGACCCATCCATCTCTGGGCCCTCGGGGGCCGGTCCTGGGGAGCCCCCACGTTCCCCTCTTCCTGCCCCATGGCCTGGAGCCCGAGGCTGGGGGCACCTTGCCCTCCCGCCTGCAGCCCATTCTCCTCCTGGACCCCTCAGTGTCTCATGCCCCCCTGCTGACTGGTGAGTCCACTGCTTCTCAAGGAAGGGGCTGGATCCCTGCACCCTGCCAAGGGCCAAGCTTGGGAAAGGACTCGTCCTTCCCGTCCCCTGTCCGTGCCCCTCTCCGGGGCATCTTACATCTCCCCGCTGCGCCCCAGCCCCCCACCCCATGCCCTCACTTCCTGCCATTGCTCCCCGGGGTTCCCGCCTCACACCCCCTCCCCCATGCCATTCTTTCCAGTGCCTGGGCTTGGGCCCCTGCCCTTCCACTTTGCCCAGTCCTTACTGAACAACGAGCGGCCCCCCGGGTCAGGCCTCCACCGGCCACTGAGCCGGACTCGCTCAGAACCCCTGCCCCCCAGTGCCACTGCCCCCCCACAGCTGGGCCCTCTGCAGCCCCGCCTGGAGCGGCACAAACCTCACGTCCAGCTGATCAAGGTGAGAGAAATTGGGTGGGGGAGGTCCTACAGGGGTTGCTTAACTGGGGCCCTGCAGGCTGAAAGAAGAGGGGGACTTAGGAAGGGCAGGGACCTGGAGGGCAAGAGAGGGATGTGGCTTTTGGGGGCCCAGAATGCATGGCAGCTCGCATCCTTGCAAGCTGAGTGGATGCCTAGCCCAGCTCACCTCCTCCCATCCCATACCCCTTGCTCCACTGTGGCTTCTCAGCCAGGTGTCTCCCATCTCCAGAGGCCAGCCAAGCCGAGTGAGAAGCCCCGGCTCCGGCAGATACCCTCTGCCGAGGACCTAGAGACTGATGGCGGAGGAGCAGGCCAGGTGGCAGATGACAGCCTGGAGCACAGGGAACTGAGCCATGGGCAACCTGAGGTCAGAGGCCCGGTCCCTCTCCAGCAGCACCAGCAGGTATGGCAGTGGCCCAGGGGACTCTGGGGCCCAGCATAGGATGGTCAAGTGAGGGAGATGGGACATCAGTGCAGGGGACAACTTGAGGACCCATGTTGCCTTATAGAATCCTGAATGCTGCATCCACACTAAGGTATAAGCAGGTACACACGTGTTCACACACACACATGCTCACATCACATCCACACATGTGTACACACACTCCAGCAGCCTGTCAGTCTCAGGGTGAAGCCGCATCCCTTTTCCAGCAGGGAGTCTGGCCTTAACACTGCCCTAGTATGCCCCTGTATCCAGGAAGGTGATCAGGGCAAGAGGTGGGACAGAGCAAGCCTTGACCATATCAACCAGAACGCGCTCATCGTGTGACTCAGACCATGATGTATTAGTTTGTGAGGGCTGTTGGGACAAGCACTGTAGATTGGGTGTCTTAGATAGCAGACATTTACCACCTCACAGTTCTGGGGGCTGAAAGTGGAAACGAAGGCGTTAGCGGAGATGGTTCCTTCTGCAGGCTGTGGGGGCAGGAGCTGCTCCAGACCTCTCTCCCTGGTTATGGATGGCTGTCTTCCTCCTGGGTCTTCACATGGTCTTCCTCTGTCCATGTCTGTGTTCAAATGTCCTCTTTTTATAAGGATGGCAGCCATATTGGATTAAGGCCCACCCTAATGACCTCATTTTAATTTGATTGTCTCTGTTTGTAAAGACCTTATCTCCAAGTAAAATCACTCTCTGAGGTGCTGGGGATTAGGACCTCCACATATGAATTTGGGGTGAGGGGGCACAATTCAAGCCATCACACATGGTGACAGTCCACATAGTGTTCCCGGACAGTTGCACAGTCCCTGGAGACAAGGAGATCCTGGCCAGAGCTGGACCTAAGGCCCCTTTCCCGGGTTCTGACTTTGGTGTCCCAAGGGCCCAGGGAGCTCTGGTGGAATTGGGTGTCCAGTCTGGGATGCAGAGCTTTGAGGGAGCTGCTGGGGTCAGGGAGCTCAGAAAGTCAAATGCCAGAGCCCATCCGAACGGCAGGCCAGATGGCTTCTGGAATCTCTTCAGAAAAGGAGGCACCTGGGGTTTCCCAAGACTTCAGGCAGAAGCAGATGGAGCAAGACCCTAGGAAACTGGAAACCAATGGCCTCCTCTTTCCCTCAGGTGTTGCTGTGGGAACAGCCGCGACTGACCGGGCGGCTCCCCCGGGGAAGCACCGGGGACTCTGTGCTGCTGCAACTGGCCCCAGGCGGACACCGGCCCCTGTCTAGGACTCAGTCTTCCCCAGCCGCTCCTGCCTCACTGCCAGCCCCAGAGCCCACCAGCCAGGCCCGCGTTCTTTCTAGCTCAGAGATTTCTGCTAGGACTCTGCCCTTTACCACAGGTAAGACTGGGAGTAGAGTAGGGGCAGGAGAGGGAGGCTCAGAGCCCATGTCTGTGTTGTGGTGTCACCTGGGACATTTTCAGAGGCCACAGGGCACTTAGTCTTGTTCGATCCACAGAGATAAGGGTGGGGCAGCTAGTTATTCAGTCTGGCTGACGAGGAGACCAAGGCTCAGGATATCTAAGGTGAATCTAAACTTGTGGTCAAATAGCAAGTGGCAGTCAGGCCAGGATACGAATTCCAGCCTCCTGCCAATGCGTTCAGCCCTTTTAAAAAATGATGTTTATTGCTCTGCTTGTAAAAGAGCTCAGAAGTATTTCAGAAATTTTGAGAAGTACAGAAAAGCATATGAGTAAAGTAAAAATCAACCAGTATCCCACCACCCAGAGGTAACCCTCTTCAATTCTGCTGTATTTTAATCCAATCCTTGTTCTAGCCATGTGTCCGTATACCTGATGCTGTAACACACGAACCACACTTTGTACCCTGTTTTGTTTAGTTAACATGTTGTGAACATTTCTTGACATAATTAATCTATAAGACTAAGGGGTCTTAGTATTTCATCATGGCATTTTATTTAGTGATTTTTGTTACTGGCTGGATATTTGATTATCACTCATTTTTATTTCCTTATGCATAAATCTCTACTCATGTTCCCAAGGTATTTCCCAAGGTTCTCTTGAAAAGAGTGGCATTCCTGGGTTAAATGGTGTGCGCATCTTGAGGGTCCTTGGTGTCCTGAGATGCACAGAAGCTGAGCTTCCCATCAATGTGCAGGGCCTTCCTCTAAAGACCCCCACCCCCCACGGGTTAGACCGAGACTGTCTCTTCTCTAAAGTGGTGCTTGTCTTACCACATGACCTAGTGTCATTGTGGGCTTCCCAGCTCCTTGTTTGGAGTTTCCTACAAATTCTCTTCCCTCTCACGGCCCCTTGGTAGCCTCTTTGGGTTCATGACACTTCGTGCACAATTCTCAGCATTAGGCCATATGTGTTTAGGCTCTGAGCTTTTGAGGACCTGGCAGAGGTGACAGGCCGGAGCAATTGCGTCAGCGTTTGGGAAGGCAGTGGCTCTGTGACAGCCATGTTGGCTGGTGCTGTGTTAGTGTGTTGTCTGCAAGCACCTAGGGAAGCGACTGGGCATTCGGGGATGGGTGTGAAGTGCTAGGACTAGGGCTGGGGGCAGGATGGGGATTGCAGGCTGGTGTGGGTGTGAGGGGTGTATGTCCTACCTGGTTCCCTGTGGGTGCCGGCTGTGGTGGTGGTGGCGGCGGCATGCTCTCTGTCTGCAGCCATGGCCATGGGGGCTGGGGACACTCCACGGGGTCCTGGCCTGACCTCTGCTTCCACAGGGCTGGTGTATGATTCGGTAATGCTGAAGCACCAGTGCTCCTGTGGAGACAACAGCAGACATCCAGAGCATGCCGGTCGCATCCAGAGCATCTGGTCCCGGCTGCAGGAGCGTGGGCTCCGGGGCCAGTGTGAGGTGAGGAGACAAGGCGGGAATGGGGGCCACAGAAGGGGAGGAGGTAGGAGTAAGGGGAGGGAAGGGGCCAGCAAGGGATGAGGGGGCTGTGGGGGTGATGGTGATGGGAGGGCAGGGTAACAAGACCTTAGGAGCTCTGTGGCCCTTTCTCAGTGTCTCCGGGGCCGGAAGGCCTCCCTGGAGGAGCTGCAGTCAGTCCACTCTGAGCGCCACGTGCTACTCTATGGCACCAACCCACTCAGCCGCCTCAAACTGGACAACGGGAAGCTGGCAGGTGGGGCCTGGTGATGCCTGGGGCCCTGTGTTTCCCTGGGCCCCAGCATCTCCTATGCTCTTATGTCTCAGCTTTGCCCAGCAGCCACCTCCTGTCCCTGGACATAACCTGCTCCAGCTTGCCGCCTTGTCCCTCTGCTGCCCACCTCCCTTCTCCCTCCACACCCACTTGGCCCTCTTACTGGAGCCTCCCTGCTCCTGGCCAGTCAGAAACTGAGAGCATGCACACTCACGTGGCCTGGCCTCTCCCCACAGGGCTCCTGGCACAGCGGATGTTTGTGATGCTGCCTTGTGGTGGGGTTGGGGTAAGTGTGCCCTAGGGTCTCAAGTGGGCATTGCCAAGGGCTTTTGGGTTTCCTCCATTCAGTTCTCCCAGGCCCAGCCCCTGCCTGCTTGTTCTTGTGATTCTGCTAGACAGGACGGGCCAGGGACTTTCCCATGATGCCACGTGTAGGTGGGAAGCTCTTTCTGGACAAGTGTGTCCTGGATCCCTCAGTGTCTTCTGAGGATGGAGCCCAGTCTAAGCCTTGCACTTAGAAGGTGTTTGGTAGATGTTGAGTGAGGCCCAAAGAGCAGGGCCAGACTTGAGGCTTGAGATCCTCTCCCTTCATAAGACCCCCGTGGTTGGGCGTTGGCCATTCCACACAGGCCTCCAGGGTGCCCGGCCAGCTCTGGAGGGGGCCTCTCAGGCCAAGTTGGGGCTGTCTAGCCTGGTCTCCAGACCCCAGGCTGTCTGGTGTGGGGCTGTAGTGATGCTTCCAGTGTCCTTGGCGATCCAGGCACCTCTCTACCTCAGGACACAGCCCTCCAACCCTCAGCTTTGCTTTCTCTTTATCCTGCTGGGGAGCTTCCTGCCCCCTCTGGCTTGGCTCTCCTTGCCTAAAAATGTCCCTGCAGTGCTTTCTCAAGCAAGGTGTGTGGAGGCAGGGGATAGAGGCCTCGTTCTGGAGGGGAAATGGGAGCAGCTGTAGCTGGTGGGGGGACAGTTTGGGAGCCAGTCAGTGCCCTATTCACAACTTCCCATTTCTTGCCACTTTCTGGTTTTTCCAACTGTTGTTGCTTCTGTTTTCTCCTCCCTCTCTCCCTCTCTGTCTCTCTCTCTCTCTCTTTCTCCAGCCTCTTGAGACTCTCTCTGCCTTCCTCGCCTCTCTTGGTCTGCCTCGCCCTCCCCATCTCCCCATCATGCCCCCCGGCCCCTCCCTAGCCTTGAGGCCCAGGGACTGGGTTTGGGGGGCCTCCCAGCCTGGGCTAGGGGCCCTGAGTGGAAGACAGTGGTGCAGACGGCCCCTCCAGCTCCGACCGTCCCGCAGGGCCTGAGCAGAGTCAGCTGGGGCTTAAAACCCCCTCCCGGCCCAAACCCCAAGTCCCGCCCAGGTAACGCCATGCCCCCTTCCCCGACCGGGGAGGCAGGCGTGATGCTGCCGGCAGAGTGCTGGCCAGATATGGGCTGGTGCTGGGACTCAAGCTGGGAAGGAGAAGTCCTGCTGGGACTGGGGGACACAGGAGGCCTTGCCTTTGGGCGGTGGGGCACTGGGGAGGCAGCGCTGTCTGCCCAGCTCCCTGCCCCTGGGGTCCTGGCCATGGGGTGGGGACTGCCCCGTTGGGCCCTGGCTCCTGCATGAAGCCTTGGATGATGCGGGCCCTGACTCTGGCTCCCACAGGTGGATACTGACACCATCTGGAATGAGCTGCATTCCTCTAATGCAGCCCGCTGGGCCGCCGGCAGTGTCACTGACCTCGCCTTCAAAGTGGCTTCCCGTGAGCTAAAGGTAGGGGGTTTGGGTTGAAGGTGACCAAACCATGGGGGCAGTCTTGTCCCTCTTGGATATTGCCGCAGGGTTTTGGAAGGGAAATCAAGGGTTCTGGGGACCAGGTTGAGATTTGAACACTAGGGGCAGGTTCATGTGTCCATGGGTCAGAGTGCTGGGTATTTGGTTGACAAGTGTTCTTTCTCTTTCCAGAACGGTTTTGCCGTGGTGCGGCCCCCAGGACACCATGCCGATCATTCCACAGCCATGTAAGGGGGAGACCTGGGTGGGATGAGGTGGTGGGACAAGCCCCCAGGGCCTTCCTGTAGGGACATTCCCCCTCTTTTTCTGAGCCATTTGGGGCTAGGCCAAGCCAGCAACTGGTAGCAAAAGGGGGCTGAACAGGCAGGGGTGCAGGGAGGGAGTGGGCTGGCAGAGCCTCTCTCTCCTTCTCCCAGGGGCTTCTGCTTCTTCAACTCAGTGGCCATCGCCTGCCGGCAACTGCAACAGCAGAGCAAGGCCAGCAAGATCCTCATCATAGACTGGGTAGGTCCCTGAGCCTGGTGTTAGAGATGCGGCTTCCTGTCTTTGTTCTGCATCAGCCTCTCTGAGTTTCCCCTTGTGTAAAATTCGGGTGAAGATAACACTCATATCACAGGGCTATTGGGGGGCCTAGAGGAGATGGTGTGTGGGAAGGCCTTCTGCAAAAAGGAACTCCCACAGTGGGTAGGAGCCCTCATTTGAGTGTTGTCTTTGACCTCTATTAGCTTCTTTTGGCAGTTCTAATAATTTCTACATTTCCCCTTCAGGTAATCATGGTAAGAATAATAGAAGCCAGGCGTGGTGGCTCACACCTGTAATCCCAGCACTTTGGGAGGCAGGGGCAGGAGGATTGCCTGAGGCCAGGAGTTTGAGACCAGCCTGGGCAACAAGGCAGACCTCATCTGTGCAAAAAAAATCAAAAGAACTAGCTGAGTGTGATGGCATATACTTATAGTCCTGGAGGCTGAGGCAGAAGGATCGCCTGGGCCCAGGAGGTCAAGACTGCAGTGAGCCGTGATTGTGCCACTGCACTTCAGCCTGGATGACAGAGTGAGACTCTGACTCAAAAAAATAAAATAAAATAAAATAAGATAAAATAAAAATAATAGCAGGTGATATCAGTACACCACTAATCACATCCAGATACAGATGGTTTTGCATATGATGGATTTAATCTTGACTATAACCCATCTTACAGATGAGGAAGGTGAGCACAGCGATATTAAAGTAACTTGCACATAGTCACTCAGTTTATGAGTTATGAGACAGATCTGAATTCAGGCTGGTTAGCTCTAGGTGCTTGTACTTAACTACTAAGCTATGTCCCCTCTGGCTTTGACAGCTGTAGAAGGGACATTTCTAAGCAGTGGTTGAGAACAGTGGAGGAACTTTGTACCCTTGAACCCATACATGGTCCTGTGAGTCAAGTGTAGGTCCAGCTCTTCCTAGAGGGCCAGGTCGGACCTCATGTACTCACCCCTCTGAAACTGAGCTTGGTTTCTGATCACCTGCATCACTTTATGACTTTGTGTAAGACATAGTGGCAAGAGTTCCTGACATGTAATCCTGGACTCTTCCTTCTCCCTGCCACTAATCCACCCCTGCATACTTACTCTATCATGTGGGCTGGCCTGCCCGGCCTGCTTCCTGAGAAACTGGAATGCCTCATCTCCTTCAGGATTTCATATAACCAGCCCCATCCACCATGTCTCTCCCTCTCCCTCTGTCTCTCTCTCTCCAGAGAGACTCCCCATATGGAGAGTATGAGGCTCAGAGCCAGGCAGTGAATTACTTGGGGCCACTCTACCATGTAGTTCTAGGAACCCTAGCTCCCTGACCACAAGTTCAGGGTCCTGACCTTGAAACCCTACTAGCCTGTCCTGACCCCCATCTCTCTGCTTTTGGACCTCCCCTAATCCACTCCCAACTTCCTACAGGATGTTCACCATGGCAACGGCACCCAGCAAACCTTCTACCAAGACCCCAGTGTGCTCTACATCTCCCTGCATCGCCATGACGACGGCAACTTCTTCCCAGGCAGTGGGGCTGTGGATGAGGTAACTGCATGCTGGGGCCATGTCATCCATCCCTGTTGACTCTCCTCCTGGTGCTTCCTTTGCCTCTGTCACAATGAGCTGTGTGATCCTGGGCACATTGTTTAGCCTCTCTGATCCTCTGCTTCCCCACTGAGGAGAAGTGAGGAGGCCGGAGGAGTGGGTCTGGTAGAACTGACATCTTGGGCTCCTCTTCTGGGACTCTGCCCTCCTCATGTCTCTTCTGCATCCTATTTTCCAGGTAGGGGCTGGCAGTGGTGAGGGCTTCAACGTCAATGTGGCCTGGGCCGGAGGTCTGGACCCCCCCATGGGGGATCCTGAGTACCTGGCCGCCTTCAGGTTAGTGCTCTGGGGGCCCAGAGGAGTGAGGCCACCCTCTCCTGCCTCTTTTCCCAAGAGCACCAGGTTGGAGGTGATTAGTGGGATTGTCAGCCTGTCCCCATCAGTTACAGGTGCTTTGTAAACTCACTACCAAAAGCCAATGTTAAACAGTGCTGGCAGAGAGGCAGCCACATTTAGTCAGAGAAGCCTGCCTGGAGGAGGGGAGCTTTGAAGATAAATTTAATTTATGGAGAAATTTAATTTGTGGAGAAAGAGGGAAAGCAGATGGTGTCCATATTGGGGGAGCTACTTAAGAAAAGTCTTCTGGAAGATGGGTTTCAGGCTGTGTTCAGGAGCCCTTCTGTATTTCACACTGGAGCCCCTGCACTCCATTAGGAAAAGAAAACCCTGGAAATAGATCTCTAAATGCTTTTCTGGACATATTCTCCATGAGAGCTAATTCTGCAGGAGCCCTGGGCTGTGGTTCCTTGCATCTGTACTGAGCCCAGAGCTTTGAAGAACACCAGAATGGACCCAGAGTTGGGTAGGGGCTGGCAAGGGAAGAGGATGAGCAAATGAGAGGCCCAGGACCTCTGAGGGTCTAGCTGCCTTGGTCAGCTATCAGGTAGCAAGTAGCAGGGTGTGGTCAGCTCAGTTCGAGCATTTCCAGTCCCCGAGGCTTAGTGAACAGAGTCCAGCAGGCTGTGAGATGCCTCCTCCTTGTGGCCCTGCCCGCTGCATCTCACAGATGCACACATGTACATTTCCTCCTTTATTCCCACTGGTATCCCATTCTTGGCTCTTTTCTGCCCCTTGCTAAGTTAAGCACCCTGGGGGCTGAGTCCTCAGCCTGGTGTGTGCCAGGGACATGGGTGGTCAGCCAAGGTCAAGGAGGTCAGAGGCATCCGCTTATCCTGCTGGGGCATTGGGAGTCTTGGGGTCCTGAGAGCAGGGTGTCCCACAGCTAAGTTGGCAGGAGAAGGCTGACCCAGGTGGGGCCCCAGGCTTACCTCCTATAGCCCTGCACCGTATGGTGACCTCTCTTCTTGTGCCCTCACAGGATGGTCGTGATGCCCATTGCCCGAGAGTTCTCTCCAGACCTGGTCCTGGTATCGGCTGGGTTCGATGCTGCCGAGGGTCACCCTGCCCCACTGGGTGGCTACCACGTTTCTGCCAAGTGTAAGGGGACCCAGCTGAGGGGGAGGTGTAGGGACTGAAAGCCAGGCTGTAGGGGACAGCGAGGCACTGTCCAAGTCCAAAGGAGTAGGCAGCAGTGGCTGGCATGGGGCCATGAGCCTGAGGACTAGACTATGGCAGCTGGCCCCAGAATTCCCTGGGATCTTCTAGCCTAGCACAGCCCAGGCCCTTTCTCAGGATCAAGCCAGTTCACTACAGAGGGCTTGATCAGGTCAGACCCTTGGGGACTTAAGTCCAACAGATGGGAAACTCAGCCATAGAGCTCTGTATTGTCTCCAAGCGGGCCTGGCAGCCCCTCCAGATGGAAGATGCAGAGGAGTGGTGTTCTCAGTACACAGAAGGGCGTCCACTCAGCCCACTGGGCCACGGGACCTGGAGGAGATGGTGTGACTCCATGAAAGACAGAGGCTGTAGTCGATGCCCTAGTTCCAGTCCTAGCCTTGCTACCACTTATAAGCTCTGTCCTTTAACCTCTCTGAGGCTCGAATGAGACCCACTAATTGCATGGGATTCGATGTGCAGTGACTTATGCAATTGAGACATTCTTTATAAGGGTGGAAGCGCACAGGGAAACAACAGGGCTGGAGGATGGGTCACCTCTCCTCCACCCCGCCCCCTCCTATTTCTCCCCACCCACCCTCTAGGTTTTGGGTACATGACGCAGCAACTGATGAACCTGGCAGGGGGCGCAGTGGTGCTGGCCTTGGAGGGCGGCCATGATCTCACCGCCATCTGTGACGCCTCTGAGGCCTGTGTAGCTGCTCTTCTGGGCAACAAGGTGAGCTGCCTTCTTTCCCCATCCATGTTTCTAAGGGGCGGATGAGCCTGGCTCTCCCAGGACTTCCCAAAGAGCAGGCAGGTAGGATGGGATAGGGTGGGAGCGGCCAGGCCTGAAGCAAAGTAGGCGAAGTGGATGCCTTTTGTCCGGGTCACATCTAGGGCCAGCACCTCCCGTCCTAGGCAGAGCTGGCAGCGTAAGCCTGTTGGTTCCCAGAGGGCAGGGCTTTTGGGGTGGGAGAGAGCTGGGCCTGTGGGTCCCTGAGAGACCGGTGACTGACATACGATATCTCGTAGGTGGATCCCCTTTCAGAAGAAGGTTGGAAACAGAAACCCAACCTCAATGCTATCCGCTCTCTGGAAGCTGTGATCCGGGTGCACAGTAAGTGTGAAGAGAGGACACTCACTGAATTAGGACTTGGAAGAAACTCAGGGGTCTGCTGTCCCCAGTGGCCAGAGTCCTGGGCCTTACAGTGCCAGCCAGGTGATCTGCTACTGGTTTAGAGTAAGATTCCTATGAGTCATCCTGCAGAACTGGTGGGCAGCCCCCATGAGTGAGTATCCTCTGAGCCAGCAGGGATTGCTACCAGTGGTCTCCTCAAGGCAGGGACTGGCCTCCCGCCTCTAGCCAATCTAGTCCTGAGCCAGGCCACAGAAATACTCAGGTCTTGTTTTCCAAAAGGTCTGGTGTCCCCCTGCCTCAGTCCTGGCCACAAGGGTCTTTGGGACTCTGTCTACTTGGGGCTGGGTCTGAGGAGCACCCCATATTTGGAAAGCACTTTTTGTAGAGACCCAAGATCTGTGCTAGGAATATGAAATGAATAAACTGGATTCCCCTATCAAGGGCTCAGAAGGGGAAGTGTACACAGTGGTCTTGACACCACCGATTCTTTTAGTGGAACCCTCATGCTGGGCCCGGCTCTGTGCTGGGTGTGGTCTGCCTATGTTATTCCTCACCTCACCACAGCAGGCAGGCTGGGCATTCCCATGGGCTGGACAAGGCCATGCAGAGCAGCCATGGAGATGGTCGGCTCCCACGCCCTCCTCTCCTAGGTGCTGGGCTGAGCGCTGGTAGGGGCTGCGTGTGTGGGGCCCTGTGTTCCAGGAGGCGAGGGCTCAGGGATCTGCGGGGTCACTGACACAGATCCTGTCTATAGGAAAGTAGGCCCTCCTGGTGCCCTCAGGAACCCCACGTGTGTGGGGAATGAGTCAGAGGTGGTGTTCGGCCAGAGGAATTGGAAGAAAGGCTTCTTAGCACCTGCTGGGACCCCTTGAAGCTCTGTTGAACTTGCTCTGTTCCTCTGTCAGGGTTGTGGGGGAAGGGGCAGGTGGTAGAGCTGACCCCAAGCTGAGGAAAGGCCCACTACTCTTGGGCCCTGGGCCTGAGGCACCAACCTCGATAGCCATTCTAGAAGGCAGTGTGGAGGGGCCTGCTTTCCCGACCCTTTCTGACCTGGCTTCTTGCCCCAGGTAAATATTGGTGCTGCATGCAGCGCCTGGCCTCCTGCCCAGACTCCTGGGTGCCCAGGATGCCAGGGGCTGACAAAGAAGAAGTGGAGGCAGTGACCGCACTGGCATCCCTCTCTGTGGGCATCCTGGCTGAAGACAGGTAACGCCAGATCCCTGGTTCTGGACCCACGGCCTCCCCACCCTTTCCATTCTCCCTGCTCAAAAGACCTCAGATTCTCTACTCAGGCATCCCAACCCTTACAGGGTTCCGACCAGGTTGGGAAGGTCCTTCCTGCAGCCCTGGCTCTCCAACGTCTTACCCTTGTCCCTCCCTACAGGCCCTCAGAGCAGCTGGTGGAAGATGAAGAACCTATGAATCTCTAAAGCTCTGGAACCATCTGCCCGCCCACCCTGCCTTCGGACCTGGTTCTCTTCTAACCTCTGGCGTCAGCCCCTGTTCCTGGGTCTTTAGAGATCCTGTGGGCAGGTAGTTGGGGCCAGAGGGCAGCCTGTCTTCCTTGATAGTCACCCCAGGGAGGCTGCGAGGGCCCCTGGCCCAGGACAGGAACCAGAGGACCCTGAGAAGAGGCAGGCTGGGCAGCCAGGCCCCAGCAGGGCTCTCTTAAGAACAGATTCCACCCCTCTGGTGTCCAGGCCCCGGCTGTGGCCCCCACTCCTCAGGACAGCACAGAGGACTGGCTCAGTCGGGCCTACCCTTAACCACTATTCCTGGCTCTTCAGACCCCAGACTTTGCACACAGCCCCAGGCTCCACACAGAAATGTGAACTTGGCCTCAGCCATGGTGGCCCTTTCTAGACTCTGTGGGTGGGAGGGGGTTGGGGAGCCAAGAGGTCCCACATCCCTGAGTGCAGGGGGAGTCCCTCCTCCCACCTGCTTCCTCGGATGATTCTGGAAGCTTCCCCCAACCACTCAGCACTGAGACGCAGCTCCCTGACAAAAGTTACCAGCAGATCTCCATCTGGATCCTGCCCCGGCCAGAGGTCCCCTTCGTTGACCTCTCAGCACCCTGGTAGAGCAGACAGGTGCCCTGGGAGTCCTGTGCTTCCTGACCCAATGGTGCCAAACCTTCATCTCCCCCCAGAGGCAAGCACGGCCCCCAGGGATCCCTCAGTCATTGCCCCCTCCATGAACCTTCTGTTTCTGGGGTCTCTCCCACCCTGGCTCTGACCCCAGCCCCACATAGGACTAACCTGGCTGAGGGGAAAGGAGGTGGGAGAGAAGACACAGACATGGGGGAGGGAAGTCTGCCCTGGCAGAGTCTTCAAGACTTTTGGGGTCTAGGCCTGGGGCCAAGAAGGAAAGTGTGTGTGAGCGTGTGTATGAGAAGTATGTGTGAGTGTGTGTGTCTTCCCCAGAACCCACCATACCCTGTGTATGTATGCATGTTTTTTGTAAAAAAGAAAAAAAAGGAAAAAAAATCTGAATAAATGTTTTATTTGCTTTAAAAGTGCCTGTGAAAGGGCCTCCCAGGCATGAGTGGTGTGCCATCGAGTGGGTGTGCGGGCCTGTCTGCACTGTGGAGAGGGCACAAGGCCAGGCTGGCTGCAGCCCCCTCTAGCTCCTTGTCCTTCTGTAGCCACCGCCCTGTAGGAAGACCCTATTCTGAACATACCCTAGCCTCCCTGCTTGCCCCTCCTTAGGAGGATAAAGAGGAGGCAGCCTTGGGCTGGGCCCACAGATGATTCCCCCAACTTGATATAGGGGGTGGGAATACAGGTGCTCAGTTCAGTTCACCACAGCATCCCCAAAGGGCTGTGAGTCAGACACACCTGGGTTTAAGTCCCAGCTGGGAGCTCAGGTAAGTCCCATCACCATCTGGGGCCTCTGTTTATCAGTAAAGGGCTCCAGAAATAGACATTGTGTGTGGCTCCTTCCTGCTTTGATGCGCCATGACTTCTTAAGCGCATACCAAGCCTAGAAGAGACAGGTGAGGCAACAGGCCTAGACAGGCGCACCCAGGGTGAGCACAGAGGAAGGTGCCAGGCTGCCAGCACCTGCCCTTGTGGTTCTGAGTCGCCAGGCGTCTCCAGCAGGAAGAGTGGCACCTTAGGACCTTAGATGGCCCCAAGCCCTCTGCAGCCTGTGGGGTGTGACAGAAGAGGCACTTGTCCCTTTCTCTTCTGCCCTGGCCTCTCGGGTGGTAGACACCAGATCCCACATGAGTTGCTGGGGCTATGCTAAGAGCTGGAGGGGGAGAGCTAGCTGGTGGTTTCCCCCATGCCAAGAGGGCCTGAGCAAGAGTCCTCCACAGCCCCTGAGGCACTAACCCCATCCTCTGTCTTCCAGGGCACAACTTAGGCCATGGAAATGGTTTAGTCAGATAGTAGAGAACTAGCCCCTCCCACCCCCACAGCCCATGTGCCCCCCCAAAGATTCCCACTCCACAAGTAACAGCCAGAGGCTGTCTAATATAAATGGCCGCTGTATTTCTGCTAAAGTGACAGTGACACAGATAAGGCAAAGAGCTGGGGTGCAGGACACACCAGGTGGGGAAGGGTAGACCGTGCAAAATGGCAACTTAACATGAAAAGGGATATTTGACAACAGCCCTTCCCTCCCGAGTTAGGTGAGCCCTTGGACCAGTGTATGGGCAGAAAAGCATTTTGTCCTTCAGAAGGGAGATGTAAAAAGATAAACACTCTAGCAAAGGGCAGTGAGCAGGGGCTGGAGTGGGAGAGAAGGTATCTTGTGGCCAGGGGTGTTCTGGGTACAGTGAGGGGCACTCTGAGAAGGCAGAGTAGAAATACAGGGAGGCTGGACACCATGTTGCCCCCTTCCCCAAAGTCCTGGGGGCAGGAGCACATTCGCTGTGGCCCTTAGTGTGCCTGGTTTGGGGAGTCCACTTTGGGGTGTATGTGAGACTGGCGGGAGGAGGGGCAGTGACTGTCTGGCTCTAGCACTCTCTTGAGAGACCAGCTCTGGGTAGAACGATGGGAGGAGGGACACTGAGCTCTCCACTCAACCTCCTCAGGCTGTGGGGAAAGCCAAATTTTGCCATCCCAGGGACTGATGAGTTAAAGCTACCTAACCCTTGGGAGATGGCAGGATGGGGGGCTTCAGGTGCTCTGCTGGAGACTCCTTCCTTGACCTGACCTCCCTAGATTCCCACTCTGGCATCAGGGAGAGTCTGGGGTAGCAGGGACGAAACCCCCTGCCCTCTGCCTCCAGCACCAGGCATGGGTCAAGGCTGCATGGTCCTAGCCCTTGACCTTATTGCCCTGGCCTTACTTACAAAGTTTCCTCACTGAGTGCTAAGAAAACGTCCATTTGAAAAGGTCTAGAGCTGTCCTTGGCCAGGCCAACGGGGAGCAACACGGCAGGATCCCCTTTCCGTTGCACCCAGGTTTCCTCCGAAGGGGACGAGCAAACAGCTTCCTGGGAGGCCACACTCGTCCTGCTGTGTATTTTCTGCCGCAGTTCTGGGGTCCCCAAGGGGTGGGAGCAGGCCCTCCCGATGGCTCAGAGGCTTAGTCCAGGTCCTGAGGCCCCCCAGGGTGCAGAGACCTCACCCCTGGGTCAGAAATCGCTGAGGATGCTGATGTCAGCGAAGTCGGCCCGGTAGCGGTGGGCATAGAGGCTGAGCAGGAAGGCCCACTTGAAGGAAATGAAGCTCCAGACACAGGAGAGGTAGTAGCTGGTGGGGTCTGTGAGGCCTGCAGGGAGAGGAACACCAAGGGTGACTCGAGAGGGGCCCTTGGCCCCAGCACCTGCCCACTCAGCATCCCTACAACCTGCTGGCAGCTGAACCAATTCTACAGAAAGACAGCAAGGTAGATGGATGTTTGAACCATCCCAGGGTTTGCAGGCAGGAGGCTGTGGGGATCAAGGAAGATCAGGGCTGGCCAAGCCCAGACTGTCTGCTCTTGTGACATGTACCTTAGGCCACTTCCTACCTGCTTTAGTTAGCATCCCCCCCCCCCCCAAACAGAGAAGGACCTCTGGGCACTTCCTGCCACAGACACCAGAGGGCAAACCTGTCCCAGAGCTGGGCAGAAACTCACAGTAACTATAACTCCAGGGTGCTCACGTGGGCCTCGCACACTGTGCTCAACACCTCCATGAAATCCTCCCATCCTAGGGGGCGGGGGACTCATTCGCCTCACTTTAATGATAAGAAAACCCAGGCCCGGAGAGGTAAAGCGATCTTCCCAGTCCCTTGGACAGAAGCTGTGGAACCAGAAGAAGAATCCCAGGGGTTGTTCCTGAACCACCCCCATCTTCCCCCACCCCAGCTGTCCCTCCCACGCCCTCTTCCCCGGGGAACCATCCTCACTCTGATGCTGGGTGATGGCCAGCACGAGGAATGTGCAGAAGGCAGCGATGGAGATGGCCGAGAAGAGGACGCCCACGAAGAAGAAGCCACGGAGCCCCTTGAGCCAGGTCCTCCAGTAATCCTGCATGTACATGATGTGTGTGACCAGGACCCACAGCGCCAGCACACCTGCAGAGAGACAGTCAGCAGGCCCTGCCTGCCCGCTCCAGCTGGACCTCCTCACCCTGCCCCCAGCCCAGACCCAGGAGCCCTGGGACCCTGTGAGTCCACTAGGCCAGGCCTGTTTGCACAAGAATACAAAGAATATTGGCCTTGCCACTCATTCCCCCATGATCAGAGAGTGTTCTAGGGAGTGTTCTGTGACCTATGATGTCACAGCAACTTGGATGCAGAAGCAGATAGGAGGCTGGAACTGCCTGCTAGCAAGTCCATTAGATTTGTGAAAATATCAAACTCTGCCATTCTGCTCCCAGATTTTTTTGTTTTGTTTTGGAAAGCATGGAATATCTCACACAAAAATGTTACTTATGTTAACTCGATGTTATGTTTAATATTACCTTAAAATGCTTACAATGTTCTCAGTTTTAACTTTGAATATGTTACATATTGATAGATACAACCCGTATCAACAAAATCTGCTTGGGGTTTCACTGCTCTTCAGGAGGATAAAGGGGTCCTGAAACCAGAAAGTTCAGAATCTCGGCAGCCCAGCTGGCTTTCTGGGGACTTCCTACTGTCTACTCTAAGGGCACAGATGGGGGAAGCTGTCCTCCCACCACCAGCCTCCCCCATCTCACCCCCAGAGGCTACAGCCTCCAAGCTGCAAGGCCTGTTCTGGAGTTCTTGGGTAGCGGGTCAAACTCCTGGCATTCGTATTGCAAGACAAGGAGGCCCAGCCATGAGGATCCCAGGGTCCGAGTGCCTTCTTGCTCTTGGCCACAACTCGCTATTCCTTCCAGTTTGTGGCCAAGGGCAGGCCAAACACCCCCTAGCCTTTCCTGGGCCTGCCCTCTGTGCCTGGGTGGGTACTTCCCCTAGGATGCCAGCTGCCACTCAGTCAAGACAATACAATACAAAACAAAATAACCCTCTGTGCCAGGCAGTGCCTGTTGGCGCAGCCCAAAGAGTGGAACACATCAGCTCCACTGGCAAGGGTCTGGGGCAGGGCTGGGGGTACCGGCGAGGGGGGAATGAGGGCAGAGGTGGAGCCAGCTGGAAGCTCTCAGCCTGCTGGCCTGTAGGGCATGGGCCACACAGGCTGCTTCGTCCTGGGAGTCAGGAGGCCTTTCAGAACGAGAGCCCCTCACAGTCCACACAGAGCAGCCTACCAGCCACGCACAGCAAGGACAAGCATCTGGCTGGGGAAAGTGGTTCTCTCTGACTGTGGAGACAAGGAAGGGAAGATGACAGGGAGGCAGGGGTGGGGGTGGGGTCGTCTTTGACAGAATCTATACTGTTTTACTTCTTAGGCAGAACGGTGAGTGGAAGGGCTTTCGTTAAATCGTCTATCCTTGTTTACATGCCGGAAATGTTTCATAATTTTAAGAAAAATGTGAGAAGGGAAAAACGCAGGGGAAGCTAGTTGTTGTGGAGCTATGTTCTGGTTACGAGCTGAGGAGGTGTCTCAATTCAGGCAGTCTGGTGAGGAACAAAAAGCCCATGAGACTGCAAGCCAGGAAACTTGGGGCCTAACACCGCTGTGCCCAGTGCCTTGGTGTGTTTCCACATCTAAAAATGGGTGAGCCTAGAGGTCCAGTCGGTCTGGATAATCAGAGGCTGAGTGTTCTACCCTAGGGAGGACAGAGGCCCACCAACCCCGAGGCTTCCCCTCCCACCTGTCTGACGCCCACATGCTCTCTCAGCTCTGTCCTGCCCACACCCGAGCTTCCTCAGGGGGCTGGCATGTGGGTCTCCCTCTCCCTGAGGTCAGGGTACGCCAGGACAGGCATGTGTCTATCCCCACCTAGTTGGGAAGTGGGAGCAAGCCAGAGGCGGGCAGAATAAGAACCCCACGGTGTCTGCTTCCATCCTATGTGATGTGGATTTTACACCAGCAGCTTTCCCAGAAGGTTCACACTCTCTCACATGTGTTGTCTTAAGTTTGAATTTAGAGGAGCTATTTGGCTTCTTAAAGGGCCCCAGGGATGAGACTTGCCACTGAGCACATTCAAGGAACAGCCACCCTTCCTCTGTCTCCTCATGACACGAAGGGTTGGGGAAGTTGAGCTCTAAGGGCCTTTCCCACTTGAAGATTCAAAAGCCAGCTTAGGAGAAAAACAAGGAGGTCAGAGTAATTCCTCTGTGACTCAGCATTTTTGGGGGTAGGACATGCTGAAATGGGGACCCATCACTTAGTCCATTGCCCATGACCCAGCGGTTCCCTAAAACTCCCACCCACATATATACACACATACCAGAGAGACCTGAGGGAAGGAGGGCAAGAAAGATGGTCATTTGGGGTGTCTTGGGGCCCCGTTCTTTGTTAAGAAGCAGGCATGACTTGACCCACCTCTCACCACTCCCTGACCCAGTTTCAGGCCCTGAACACAGGCCTCCCCTCCAGAGAGACACATGCCCAGTCTGGAGGCAGGCCCATCCTAGCTCTCACCACCCTCCTTGGAAGAGAGCTCTGTACCAGCTCTACCCTAGGGGGTCACTGAAAGAGGTGGGGTCTCTCGCTGGTTCCTTCCACACCTTAGGCAAGAGGCAATGTCCCTTAGCCCTGCACCCTTCCCTAGGATCCTCAGGGACTCCAGGAAGCCTGGTCTGCACAATTCAGGGATGAAAGGACAGGGTCGCAGCCCCACCTGGCTGCGAGCCCACACCAGACCACACTCTTGCTCTCTTCCCACCTTTGTCAAGGAGTGGGGCCCTTGCTTGGCCTTTGGGCTCACACCTGACAAGCCAAGGGCAAGGAAGGCGCAGGGCAGGGTGGTGAGAGCATCCCTAGCGGCTGGGCGGGCAGTGAGGAGACAGGAGATGCCCAGGGAGCCCAAGTGGGACACCGGGTCTGGGTCAGGCCTCCTATGTTCTCCCACCCCAGTCTTCCACCCCCACCCCAGAAAGAGCAGGAGCCTACAGCCTGAGGGCTCTCCTGGATCACAGCTCACGTGGGGAAGAACACAGAGCTGTTAAGTTTCCTGGGACAATCTTCTTTTTCTCTTTTCTTGGTTTACTAGTCTAAAGCAAGAGTCTGCATGTTTCCTTCCAGGGTTCCCACAGCAGAGCCAGACCAGACAGCTCCAACCCACGCCTCCCCAGGAAAGCCAGCGCTGCTTTTGCGACTGCCTTTCTCCAAAGTCATTCTTCCCAGACACCCACCAGGATGGGACAATGTGTCCCCACCCATGAACGCTCTGCCCACTGGGCCCAGAGGTTCCATAGCTGTCCGTGTCCAGATACCAGCACACCCAACCAGCCCCTGCCTGGTCCCACACAGGGGAGAAGGAGCACTCTGGGGCTGCCCTTGGGTGACTCGGCAGTTTCTGGGCTGGAAAATGCCAAGTCAGAAGTGGGGTGCTCACAAGTTAGTAAATCTGCTGGCACTTCACCCCTAAAAGAGGAAGAAGGCTGACTGGCTACAGTCCCTCTCAGAATCCACTCAGGGTGGGGAGGCTGCAAGGCCCTGGCCAGGCAGCCCCCCTCCCCCACCATTCACCACTTCTGTGACCACCACCAAGCAGCTTTGGCTCTTCCACAGCCACTGACAAAAGTCAGACCGTCAGAGAGATGCCAGGACCCTACTCCAGCTGGTTGTGACCCTAGGGCCTCTCCCTGAAGGCAGCCCCACAGCTGACCTGCCTCAGCAGCCAAGGGATGCCTTCAAGGAGGCAGAGAGGGCAGATCTTGGGAAGAGGGGGGATCCCCAGGCAACTCCCTAGAGTATAAGAAAGAGGGCCTTTCCACAGCCGTCTAACAGATAGCTACAGATAAGAGATACAGGGCGTGGACAGAGCTGCAACACAGACTTGGAGGGAAGTCAGAGAGCTCTTTCAGGGCATCTCCTTCCACTCCTTACAGAGGAGGAACATGTGGCCCAGGGGGTCTTGACATGCCCAAGGTCAAAAGGCTAGGGAGGGCTCACCTCCACTTCCCACCAGGCCAAACTCAACACACCCAGCTGGATTCCAGGGATGGCTCTCCTTCCCCCTCTACTTCCCACCTTAGGCTTCAGCAATGCAACCATTGGACCCTGACACTACCTTCCCGAGGCAAAAGCGACAGGACCGGTTGGAAGCAGAAATCAAAAAGCTGCAAGAAGTGTATCTTGAAGAGCATGGAGAGCGGTGGGGTGCAGAGGGGAAAGAGCCAGGGCTCTGGAGATAACAGGCAGAGATGGGTTGGCTGTTCTCAGCTGGTAGGGCGGCTAGGCAGGCTTAGACTATCCTAGCCAGGGCTTCTGCCCGCCCTTCCTTGTGACCCCAGTCCTCTGCTTGGCATTGCTTAGGCTGGGGCCTGGGGCTTAGGCTGGGGCCCTCTTGTAAGGCAGAAACCTCACCCACCTTATGTTCTGACTACTCAGGGATGGCACCTAACAAACTCTGTGGTGATGAGTAAATTCCTTATTTTTAGTTATTCCATTTAGGGCCCCTTTGGCAGAGGATTTTAGTAATGGAATAATAAGATCATCCTAATTATTTTTCCCCAAGTCCTCTGGGCAAGTTACTTATTTCCTCTAAGCCTCAGTTTCCTTACCTGCAAAATAGACACAATAGTAATGCCTACTTTATAGGACTAATGTAAGCATTAAATGAAATCAAGGAATCAGACTGCTTAACACAGTGCCTGGCACATAGAAAGCATCAAAAGATGTTAGCAAGTAGAAATAATATTTTTCATCTTCCCTCCAATTATATGGCACAGAGCGGTTAAACTGCATACCCAAAGGAGGCCAGCCAGTACAGAGCAGCGGTGAGCACAAGGCCCCCACCAGCGGGCGGATGCCTCCCTTTCCCTCCGTGAAGCACAGAAAGGGCTGTTGGGGGGTTGGCAGACCTCAGCCAAGGAGCCACAGCAGACACTAACGTGGGTGGAAAGAAAATGTCCAGCCGCCATCAGATCCCTAGCGCGGTCCTCCCGCTCTCCCCGAGGGCTCTGCTGGGCATAGGGGTCTACACTAGAAGGAG